GCATCTTATATTGTCCATGTACAGTATTAAAATATAGGTCATGAAGGGAGGGTTCTATTGACAATTGCCTACTACTGTCCCTGGGACATAGTAGATCCCACACATGTGCGTTAACCAAACTAGGGAAGGAACCTCATTTTCCCTCAGTATCCTGGTGACAGGGCTGCTGGATGTGGCCTTGCTCCTGCGTGGTCTGGCCTGAGTCACTGTAGGCTGTCAGGCCTTTGCCACAGGGTGGCAGCAGCAGCCCAGGCATGGAGTGCGGCCTCCTGCTCCAACAGAGCTTCAGCACCAGGTCCCCTGGGTTCCCACCAGCAGGCCCTCTTGTCCCCTTGGCCAGAGAAGACAGGCGGGAGGGGTCTGGGCAGACTGGGAGGTCGCTGGGACACAGAGGGACAGTTTTGTACTGGGGAGACTCTGGGAGAGGAAGCTGGGTGGTCTCCTCAGAGTGTCGAATTGTGCCTGTCACAAAACCTCCACGCAGTGAGGCTGCTGGGAGAGCCAGACTTGACAAAGGCCTGGGGGAGACTGGCAAGAGCAGCCTGGGCCCTTGGGGAGAGGCCTGGCAGGCTCGGAGGCCAGTTTCCAGGGTGACGGCCTGGGCCAGGAGCCCTCCCAGAAGACGCAGGACTGTGGTCTCCTTCCCAGCTCCTCCAGGCAGTGGGCTCCATCCAGCTCCACCCCCAGGCTCTTCTCCTTTCATTGAATCTTTTTTGTTCTAAACTACTAAAAATCCTCCTGAATGTCAGGAACCAGGCTGAGGATTTTATCTATATTATGTGCACACATATATAGTATATAATATTATATGTTGTCTTTAATTTTCTTTGCAGCACCATGGAAAAGATATGGTCATACCCCCTTCTGATAAAGAAGGGATAGCTTAAGCCGATCCCTTGTGAAGCTTAGTTAACTTTGACCTAACATCCCCTTCAACACAGGGGAACCCAATGTGAAAGGGTAGGGAGGTAGCATCCCCACCCATACAGATGGGGACACTGAGGTACAAAAAGATTACAGTACAAGGCCCTCCTGACAAATTGCTCAAGAATTCAGATCTAGGCTGGGTGAGGAAGCACATATCTGTTATCCCACACTCTGTGAGGCTGATGCAGGAGGACTGCGAGTGTGAGCCTCTCCCAGGCAACTTAGTGAGTTAGCAAGACCCTGTCTCCAAATAAAAAAGGGCCAGGGATGTAGCTTAGTGTGAACGCCCTGGGTTTAATCTCTAGTATGAAGGAGAGAGGGAGGGAGAGAGAGAGAGAGAGAGAGAGAGAGAGAGAGAGAGAGAGAGAG